CACACACACACACACACACACACACACACACACACACACACACACACATTATCATCGACAGCTAGGACTGAATCTGTTCAAGTGTCCAGCGTTCTGCTGAAACCAAACACTCATTGATGGAACAACACAAGTAGGGTTACATTTTCTAACCACAGCCATTTCTCATCTGGAGAACTTGAAAAGGACAAAAAAGTTATTTTTATAGTATTTTTAGTAGCACGACGGCTCAGTGGGTTAGCAGTGATGCCTCACAACAAGAAGGTCCTGGGTTCAATCCCCGGTTCGACATGTGTCTGTATACTGGTGGAATCAAACCTCTGACTCCGGTCAGTCAGTGATTGTATGTCCAGTCAAACTAGAGAAGCTAATTTATTAGTTAATGAAGAGAAAGTGTTTAGAACTTACACAACAGGAAACACCTTTGGAAAGACGACACTAGCCTCAGCCAGGTACTCGTACAGAATCCGCTGGTCGAAGTCATCTGTGGTGTATTTGACTTGGGTGGCCTAGAAAACAGAGCAACACAAGGTTAGGATTAGGGATCGGTCAGGCCGTTTAAACTATCAGATTATCTCTAAACTTTGGGTCCTTACCAGCACAGTAAGCAGCAGAGCCTGGATTTTTGGATCGGTCAGAACTTCTTCATCGAGCAAAACATTGGACTCTGATACAGACACCTTACGAAGGTGAGAGTTTCCAATTCTTTGTGGCTCTGTAAGTGTGGTATTAAAGGACACCATGAAATTTCAGCTCAGACTGGCAAACATAAAAAACAAAGCTCTTCCCTCACCTATTTCATAGTCGTTCTCTGCTACACGCCTCATCTTGGGAGGAGTGGTCATCCCAGACTCCATCTCTGGTCTCTTTGGTGCTTTGGAGTCTGATATGAGATGATCAAAACTCTTCCTGGTGCCTGGCCAACCAACAGAGATTTTCACACAACATTTAACACAGATGTTCTGATTCGTACAGAATGCACAGAGGACCGGGCCGTACCCAGGAGCTTCTTCGTGTTGGCCTGTGAGGGCTGGCCCATGTCCAGGCTCATGGATTTGCGTGTTCGGGGGCTGATCTGACCCATGGTGGGGTAAGGATGGGTGGAAAGGTAGCGGTCTGAAATCTGAGGGGATGTCCATGGCTGAGGTGTTTGTAGAGTTCTGAAATGAAAGTATGTCAGATTGGGCATGACAAGTTTCAACACAGCAGGTTTATCTCAGAGACATGAAAAAACAGCAACTCACCTGCAACCAGTGTCACTGAGGTGACTCATGTACGTGTCCATTGGCACAGGGTCCATGGAGACATCAGAAATAAGGAGGGACTTCCTGTGCTTGAGGCTGCAGCGACTTCTGACCTCCTCTGATACGGTGAGCAAAGCTGCAGAGAAAACAGAGCAAGTAAAACTGTGTCAAGTAAAATAGCTGCATTTCCATCCAATTTTAATTCAAATTTTGAGCGAATTTTTAAAATTTTGCAAAAAGGAAAAAAAAATAAAACGAAGAAATGCGAATCAGACATGTTTCCATCAACTGGCTTGAAGTGAATCAGTTACGTCAGACGCATGTGTGTAGTAAACAGGAAGTAAAAGTCGCATCTCAGGAAAATGGAGAGAAGTTATTAGGAATGTGTTGCTACTGTCGGGAAAGTTGTAATTATTCTGTCATTAACTAGCTTTGGTGATTTTACATGCGGTTGAGAGACGTAAAGAAAGAAATGCAATTCTTTTCACGTTACGTGATTGACTGAGAATACGCCGACAGCGGGAGGAGGGTCCAGCTTTCTTTGATACAAAAACGTGTTTTCCTAAGAACAGCTGGTGTTCTGACTGTAGGCCCTATTGGTTAAATCTGAATACAGACCAACTTGGCTACAGCTAGATGTATCAAATTTCAATCACAGAGAATTACAATGGCTGTGCTGGGCCCTCCCCTTTAGATTAAAGGCACAGTGTGTAGGATTTTGTCAATTCTTGTAGCCGAAATTGAGATAATAACTAATGACAATAATAAAAAACATGTCTAATCATTGCAGACAAAGACCTTATTTTATTATTTTTACCTTATAAAAAGCTGTTTATATCTCCATGGTCGCAGGTCACCACTACAGGCAGCTGCCATCTTGTCTACGAA